GCGCTATAATCACGCATCCCTTGGGACCGTACGCAGGTTATTTAAGGGGACAAATTTCTGAAGACTACCTTGTACACAGCAGCACTCTCAACGGGAGCGGCTCCTCTGGAGCGCGTACAGCATGCAGAAGAATGCACATGAGCTTTGCTTCCAAAGTCACTGCGGAGATCCTCTGCAGAGGATCTCCCTCCTACTTTCAACATCACTTTCTAACTCCACACCAAAGTGGCTGTAGCATCGCAAGAGGATGCTTGCAAAGCCGAACAAGCAGAGTCAGGACAAGGGCCCCACCTCACCGTTTCTCCAGCACTGCTGCTTATCCAAGGGCGTCAGCGCTGACAGAGCAATGATGACTTTTTCCTGAAGTTAATCCAGTTCTCTGTTTATAGGGACACTGCCTTTTCCTACTTCTGGCATAGAGACAAATGAGAAATATTACGTGATGTGGTTCAGCGCGTGCCAGGATGCCGGGCTGACACAAGAGGCACGTGCTGCGATAGCGGATAGCGACGGAGGCACAAAGGGCTCTTCCGCGAGTAAAGTGAGGCACGGCCCCAGGGCACCAATCACGCCAGTCCTATTCCGAGCTCCATCACTGCCTTGTGCTATAACCTTGGGCAATCCACTTCCGATCACTTCGCAGCTACAGAAAACCAATCCCACAGAGATTATATGCCCAGCCATTCCATAAACTCCGTTGATCCAATTGCTATATGAACAGTATTTCTAGAATATGAGGATATTTAAGGTTTTGACTCTTCAAGGAGCCGCAAAGCCTTTTGTTAACACAAGATCCTTAGCTGGGAGGCCTTGCACGCAAGTAGTCAAGTCACAGTTGATGCGTAATAAAGTTAAGTATTGTGCTATGAGGCAGCGTGCTTTAGGTGTCCATTAACAGAAGAGCGTTCTGGGCAGCCTGAGGCCTTACTGATACCAGAGGGCTTCTATTAAGTTCTGAAGATCTACAAACCATTGTTTTGGAGATGGTGATTGCCTCTAATT